ATCATGTAACATTACATATTTACTCTATCAATAAAGATCATGAGAAGTGTCTCACCTTAACATCAAAAAAAAAAATAATTTATTTAAATATCAGTAAATAACATGCCAACAGAAGTTCAATATACGAATAAATACAAGATATTTATAAAACTTAGATTTTGACCAGTCCTTAATCTTTAATAACAATGTGGCTAATTTTATAATGTGATAGCTAAAACCAATTTAACGAACTCACACAGTCATTGGGCCTCTGATGAGATCACTCAACTTCACTATGCGTCGCTGACTTTCGAAAAGTCAATTCGGACCTATGAGAAATGTTAGTGACGAGGTGAGATCTAGGAGTGCAAGGTGATGTGGGGATTGTTATTTTTGGAAAAAAATTTTTAGTGGAGAATATCATTAAGAACGGACCGGGAATTATTCCATGTATTTCTACTGCAATTAATCATACCATGAAAATCTTCGAGGTCGTTAAATTATCTCAATCCATTTTAGGACTCGTCCTTATGTATCCGCATATCCATTTTCCTTAGAATAATCTCTGCATTTAAAACATAAATGCATTATGTTGAATATCATAGAGCGATTGGTAGTCTTTAATCAAGGTTTTTACGAGTCATGTCAAAAATCAAACCAATTCACATTCACCATCAAACATGCTGTTTCTTGAGTTTGAAATCTATATAGTTTTGGGAATCTAGCGTATCGATCAAACAAAGATATATGTTTTTTTATTTAATATCGCGAATGTTTCATAGTTTCCGGAACTACATTTCTGAACCAGGAAATTACTCCTGATCAACGAAGTATTCCCAAGCACAGAATGTCATAGCGATCTTATCTGGAACTAAATGAATTCAAATTTAAAATTATTGCAAACAATAATTTCAATATTGTTGTATAAGACATAGCATAGTTGGTTTTAGGTTACAGATTTTAATGACGTGAGTTGTTGTTTCAACGAATGCCAGAATTCAGAATTGCTTTTGGCTGGCGGTCCGATTTAATATCGGCATCAAGTCTGAGATTGTACATGACTATTTCAATAATTCTTCGTTATTTTAAATTGCGTTTCACATCTTTTACCTTCATTATGAAAAAAGTTTTCGTATGGCGAAGGAATTCAAATATTGCTAAAAACAAAAAATGTAACATGTAACGGGTCCTTCCTTATTGGATGAATCTGTCTTTTTTTACATCCGACAATTAAGCTTACCCAAAGTTGTTCGAATTTAAAGTTCTGCAATCTTTGATGCATATGAGATAAGGTCTAAGTCTATTAAGAAGAATGCCCCTTTTCGTATGAAATGTTAATCATGTTTCGTTATATTACTGTATGTGAAACTCCATAATGTATTGTGAACACACGTTTACCTGCAATAACATCATCATCAATATACAGAGTAATTGATCATCACAATCATTACACTCACTGACACCGATTAGATTAGCCAGGAACTCTTCTTATCATGCCCGTCATCTAAGCCTTTCACTTCCACGAACATGTGATGTTTTTTAGTCATACGTACATAATTTAAGACAAATACGACTTAATGTTTCCGGACTTTTTAAACTATTTCGATAAAAGGATTTTTCATATCGATTTCAAGGTTAGAAAGTTACATGATTGTACCCATGTACTATTATTCCAGAATTCCGCATCGTACGACCATGAGTCATTTCAATCTGCAATTTCTTATTCAGCAAAACACAAAGAACCACAGAACAGATGTATTCTATTAATTGTCAACCCATTTTTCAACATTTTAATGCATGATTACACGTATTGCTCAGAAAAGGAAAGAAACGTGATGATAATAAAGTACGTAACAAACAAAATTTTCGTTTAGAATCAAAATATATGGCCAGAGATTATCAGACGTATTTATGCATATTACTTTACACATTTCTACAAGATCTTATCGGGCTAATTCGTATGATCATTCCGTAACATTTATCTGCACCAATGATTAAAATTTTAGAGCTTTATCTATAAATACATCGCTTCGCATTTGTCCGTCCTGTGTAAGTCAAAACCAATATAAGTACTTATTGACTTTGAAACTGTAAAAAAGATCCCTTTTCTTTCATCAGACACCTTCAGACGTTAAAAAATGGGCTGTGTATCTTCTAAGAATCTCGATGACAACGAAGTCAGCAGCCGAGGTTTTAGTGTAAAAAGTAAGCCCGGCAGTGGTGGCTTCAATAATAAGATATCGGAGAAGGATTCGAAAGGTTTTGTCGGAGATACGTTGAAATATCCGATGCCAGCAAATGAGTATGACGGCGATAGATTCGCATTACAACATTATCTGTTTAGGTATATCTGGCAAAGTAACTTTTCTTCACCAATCGAAGAAAAATTGTCGACGGATGGTACCAGGGTACTGGATGTGGGGTGAGTGCATGTAATTTTCATTCGACTTTGTTTATCGCAAGATAAATTTTTACTCAATTCTTTTTCTTTTCATCCATAAAAAAGCATCGGCACAGGATCATGGGTACTCGAGATGGCTAAAGAATATCCAAATACTAAATTCACGGGTGTCGACCATCGATCCTTGTTCAACAAGAACACGCCGTCAAACGTTGATGTAAAACATACCGACTCCATCTTAAGTCTCCCATTCGATGATAACACATTTGATTTTGTGTTCATGAGATTTTTGGCGCAAGAAATAACCGAAGAAAAATTCGAACATATACTTATTCCCGAATTAACCAGGGTGTTGAAGCCAGGTGGATATCTGGAAATTATGGATTTGGATGCTCAATGCGGGAACGAAGGTCCAGCTGCCCAAACACTGATGTCTGCAGGTTAGAAAATTTTTCATAAACTTATGATCACGAGGATTTCCTTTCTTTTTTCGGGAAGCATCTAACATCCACCTCTCTATCACAATGTATACAGTTCGAACGCACTACCAATCAAAAGGCATTAATCCAATCATGACATCCAAGCTTAAGCGGTTTATGAGTTCTACCAAAATGTTGGTTGACATCAATGTAGAAGAAGAAATTCATCCGCTCGGCTCCTGGGACGAAAAAATTGGCGAGATAGCGTTGACTGATTGGCTGATGGTCTTAAATAATCTTAAAATGGGTATCGCTCCATTATTAAATATTAATGAGGATGAATACAGAGATCTATTGAGATCATTTAAAGATGAGACCGATATCTTCCAAACTTACTGGGCCAGCACCAGAGTTTATGGGAAAAAAACCTCAGCTCCTGATAGTCAACCATCATAGGACATGAAATATATTACTACAATTATGTGGTCATTTGGAGGGCATGAGAGGACATTTTAGATCTAGATTTCATAGACTTATTACACGCATATTTTCCATTAAATAACATTAGAATGAATCGAGATGGGAAGAAGTACGGAAATGAACTTGTGTAATTCGTCGTAAAAACAATTGCAGCATTGGAACTTTTCAGAATAATCATTCGAAGTTATAGAAAACATCTCAAACATAAAACTGATGGAAGGAATCAAGATTGCGGAATGAAAAAAAAAAGGCAAAAAAAAGTTATAAAGTAAAAAAAAAAAACAAAGTAAAAAGTATATTCATTTGTAAAAAAAAAATCGATCTTTTGTCAATAATAATATTGATAAAATGAGTCGCTTTTTTTTTTTTTAAAAAAAAAAAATAAATTAATTAACAGATATACAGTAATTGATTATATTCAAGTTTCAATATAAATAACATGCAATTTACATATCTATTTTCATAACATGTAACATTTAAACCATGTAAATATTATGATTCAAATATTAAATCAATAAATAACACACTAAATGCGAAATCAAACTTGCATCATACCTGTATATGCCTATGATTAGATTCGAAAAAAAAATAATCAAATAAACTACACAGAAAAAAAAATATCGAAAATACGAAATTATATGAAACCATAAAATATTTGATATCATGAAGTCATTTGAAATAATTGTAAAAATTCTATGCTATTAAATTTATAATTTAAATACTGTATAAAAAATAAAAAAATAAAGTAAAATTCTTGTTTACTGTAATTTGTTTAAGAAATAATTATTCAAGATATTTAGTACTTATTATTATATTATTGTTCTTGAAATATCTATTGTTAATTTGTTATTCCAAATCAATTACAATATTATTACATAATATTCTTTTTTTTAAAAAATAATTTAAATATAAAATAATTAATTAAAATATAATATATTGTATATTAAAATAAATTAGTTTATCAAACTTTTACCTGTCTATTATTAATTCTTTAAATGTAATAATTTTTTTTAAAGAAATACTTTTTTTTTTATATATTATATAAAATATAAATTTAAAAATATAAAAACCTTAGAAAAATTTGCTAGTGGTACATCTCGAGGATCGGTGATAACAGGTAACTGGAATAACTGGGATTAATCTTTATAATAACATTCTATACTACATTGCTCTCTGCAATATGGACTTAGTAGATTAGATAGGTTTAAACTAGTGGTAGGATTTCTCCCCCTGCAGAAAGTCCCACCTGATGTGTGGGTGCATCTATTTGATGTTTAAATGCTTGTATAGTTGGGTAATAGTGGTTAGTGTAGCTAGTCTTATAGCAATATATGTACTAGATAGTGTTAATCTGCAGATTAACTGTAGAAACATAATAGGTATTCATGTATCAACTGATTTTCTGGTTAATTTGTAGAGACACTTGGTATCTGTCTGGATATTAAATGTATCAATAAAGATCACATACTGTGCGCATGTTCCATTATAAAAAAAAAAAAATCTTAGAAAAATTACTATTGCATTAAAATAGAATTTCTGATCAAGAATTATACTAGTTTAAAAATCTTGTTTGTTTTTTGATTCTATAAAAAAATATTAAAATTATTTCTATATTATATTAAAAATATCTTTTTAATTCAATTTAACAATAATTAAACTGATTAAAATTTATTTTTTTATTTTTTTTTGTAGGTAAACATTATTTCTTTATTTATTTGTATAATAATAGATGTATATTGTAAAAGAAACAACATCTCTTATGTGTATTAGTATAATGAGTTAAATGCTAGCTTATCAATAATAACCACTAAACTAATATTGAAAAGAAATTTTAAAACAATATATCTTATCAAGCGACTCTGAGCAATTATAATTACTTACTTAATATTGGATGAAAGAAAATTAATAAGATCTGTAATTAATTTGAAAATGCATTTAGTAAAGTTAAATCCATTTTGGATATATAAATTAGCTACAATAATAGGTATGTTTATAATAGTTGATGTTAATATGGAGTTGTTATTGGGTGGTTTAGTTTTGACTAGGTTTTTAATGATGTGTTTTGTTATATCACTAAAAATTATTGTTTATTTAATACCAGTAAAAGGAGAGATGTTTGCTGTAACACAGCAGAGTATCCAAATTGATTTGTATAGATGAGCTAAGGTCTTGGTTAAAGCTTCAATCCAGTTGAAGAAATTGATTATAGAGAAGATATTGTCTATAATGCCACATATCAGCTCTATTAATTGCCAAGTATTTGAGATTAACTTGTGATTATTGTCAGGATAAAGAATGTTATTAATGATGATAATAAGTTGACTAATATCTTCTGATACTGATAAATATTTAAAAACATGTTGGATATTCTCAATGTATAACTGATTTAAATTTTTTTTAAATTTTTTTTTTTTTTGGTAGGTAAACATCATTTCTTTATTTATTAGTATTATACTTAAAGTTATATACACTTGTGAAAGAAACAATATCTCTTGGATGCAAAAAACATATAATAAGTTAAATACTAGCTTGCCTATCTATTTATATTTAGCTAATATCAAAAAGAATCTAAAACAATATTATATATATTAAATATAACTAAAAGCAGCTATGCTTACTTACTCAGAATTTTTTGATTGGATGTAAAGAAAATAGGAAATAGAAAAAAATTGAAAAGAAAAATAAACTGAAGCTACAATAATATTGGCTACTGAAACTAAAACTAAGTCACTTAAACTATAAAATCTATATAAATAAAAAAAATATCTAAAAAGTGACCAATAGTTTGACTCTTGCACTGACACTGATCTTAAAGATATAACTCTTGTTAACACGAATAATAAAGTATAGTTAATATTGTTTATTGTTGTAGTAATAGTAGTAGTTGTTATTGTATTAAAAAATTGGTTTAAACAGGCTCAGTTTTTTCTTTATTGTTTTGATGAAATCTGATTGGATAATTAAAGAGTGATAATTATCTGGAGGGGGTAAACTGGTTTCAGTTTTTTAAAAAAATTTTTTGAAGATTTTGAAATAGTATAGTAAATAGTACCATAATAAAATTATTTGTGTAGATTGTATTTAAACAAACAATAGATTCAACAACTTTGTTTAAGTGTGTTTTTGGAAAAGTGTTTAATTTTTTTTTTTTTTTAATGAGTGGCTTACACCTTGTTTATTGGAAAAGTGTTTAATTTAACAAATGCAATAATATTGATATAAATGATTTTTATGATATAATAAAAAGAAGGGGGGTGCAAGAGAATGAAAGAAAAAAGAACAGCTACTGACATTTTCTTATGCAACTAAAGGATAAGCAAGACTCCCAAACTTGAGTAGACTTTGACCAGAGGTCCTATCTCACTATATCAGTTATTTTGAAGGTTCTTGAATTCTTAAGCTGAAGCTTACTTGTGATAAAGAGTGTAAAATATTTTTTCTTGCTTAAAATTACTATAAAAGAAATTTTTTTAACAAAATGAATATGATCAGAAGAGAGTTTTTTATAATTAATTGATTTAAATTTATTTAAATAATAATATTATTATATTTATATAAAGTATTAAATTTTTTATATGTTTTATTAAATTCTTAACCAGTTGTTATATAGTTCATAAATTTAATTAACAAAATTCTAAATAAAAAAATTACTATTATAATTATAAATTTTTATATATATCAAATATTTTTAAAAAATTAATAAATAATATTCAGTTAAGTCCCCAAAAAATTAAAATTGGATTTTTCTTATAATTTAAATTAAATAAAACCTTTTAATATATATATATTGTTTATAATAAAAAAACAATTTATTAAAGTTTTATTAATATTTATTTTAAAATATTTATTTAAAAATAACAAAACAATTTTTAAACATTTATAAATTTTATTCAGACAACAAATTTTTATTATAATAAATTTATATAGAATTTTAATTAAATTATTAGATTGGTTAAAAATTTATTAATTAAAAAATAATAATAAATTAATTTATTATAAAAAATATATTTTTATTTAAAGACCTGTGGGTCTATAGCACAGTGGTTAGTGCTTCGCAGGTCAGATCACAAGATAATAGTTCAAATCCTCCAGAGAACTAATGTGGAAACCTCAAACCAGAAAAAATGGATTGGCATTTTCTGATCACCGTCACAAGATACCAAGTTTAGTTCCAGGTGAAGATAACTGGACCGTCTCAAGATGATATCTGGAGCCATAATCTAACATGCGCTGTTTCCTATAAGAAGCCAATTCACACATTGATTCAATGGACGTTAGGATTGTGATACCAAGAAAGGCGTAGTGGTGTAACAATCGTCTGGCAGTGTTATGATAATTGTTGTCAAGTTTGGTGCTTTCCCCATTTTCTCATGCATGGAGCACGTTTCCTTACCCCTTTAGTTCACGAGACTATAAAAGAAACAACCTGATTTTTCAAGAGACCAAACTAGAGCCACAAAGACTTCTTGTTGGATATAGCTAGTCCACGGCTGATCGTATTAGGATACGGTTCTTTGAGTTTCTATTCATCAGATGATGGGTGGAATTGGAAGATGCAC